GGTTTGGAGGTTTAGGGTTTAGGTTTGTCGGGGGCGGAGATATCGGGTCTAGGGTTTGAGATTCAGTATAAACTGGGCACTCAAGCCATTTGGGCTTTCGTGTGCCTGCATCAGTCAGCAGATAATATCCTCCCAGAAACATTCAGGCTTCAATCATCAAAGCAAAAACAACCCCAGGTAAGTACAAACAGTACATGAGAAGGAGACTGTCGGAAGGTTCAGGGGCAGGTCTTGCGAAAAACCCTGCTCCTGAAAGTGCTTGAACGGTTTTTGCTAAGGGTTGCTCCGCAGCCCTATGCCCTAATATCTTCTCTAAACCCTAAACGCTGAACCGTTTGTATTGTATGATCGCAGCTATCAAGCTGGTTCACCCGAAAAGGGAACTACAATCAGCGGAGCCGTTCTCTCCCAACACTACCTGGAAGCCCCCACCGCCTACGTATAGCAACCCTCAAACCCTAAACCCTAAACCCTAAACGCTAAGCGGCAAACCCTCAGCCCGACGCCCTAAACACTATGTCTAATGTAGGGGCCTTAATAATTAGAATAGGGTTTTGGGGGTATCTTATTGTATTACTATAAATATAATGAGGAGCCCCCGCCCAAAAAAATAGTATAGGTGGCTATTGAGGCCCTATAGTATATCAAGCCCTAAACCCTAAACCCTAAACCCTAAACCCCCCCAAAAAATAGTATAGGTGGCTATTCAGGCCCTATAGTAAAACAAGCCCCAAGTCTTGAATCTTCAGTAAGCTCTACCTGTAGTCTCCATTGTAGTTCCTTTTTTTGGTTTAACCAACTATATATTAAGGATTTTATACGGTATCCCCAAAAAGGAACTACAATGGAGACTATAGGTAGACCCCAAAGCCGAAAAACTAAGTCCCGAATCAAAAACCCTAAGTCCCAAATCCTGGAATCTAAGTACTAAATCCTAGGACCGAAACTCCAAATCCTAAACCGCATAAGTCCTAAATCCTAAACCCTAAACCCTAAGTCCAAGAATCCCGAAACCCCAATCAAATCAAGGAAGCCCTGGGCCAAGGTAGCTGCGCAACCTCCACTCCGAATTGCTGAGAGCCGTGCAAGGCACCTCCGATGTTTGAGAGCTTGAAGGCGCCAGGCTGGAGGGGTTTAGGGTTAGGGTTTAGTTTTTAGGCTTTTAGGGTTTAGCTTTTAGGGTTATAGGGTTTAAGGTTTAGGGGTTTAGGGTTTAGGTCTTAGGGTTTAGGTTGTAGGGTTTAGGGTTCAGGGTTTGGGGTATGATGTAGGGTTTAGGGTTTAGGGCGGAAATGTAGGGGCCTTGATCATTGAAATAAGGTCTTTGGGTATACTATGCTATAACTATTATGAGCCACAAGGGTTCGAAGCCTAAACCCCTGCACCAAGAGGACCAAAAACGATATACTGCAAGGCTTATGGGGTTTAGGGATTTTAGGCTCCGAGGCCCTCAGGGTTTAGGGTAGACTCCCTTAGATGAACTCTCCTAGAAACCCTGCATACACCAAGATGGTCACAGAATGGAAGCCAGAACCGATCACGCCATGCTCCGAAACGCCGAGGTTTAGAGGTTTAGGGTTTAGGGTTCAGGGTCCCGGAACATGGAATCCAACGCTTTAGCTGAACCCTTGTCAGCTGGCCGGTGCATCCTGAACCCTACGTCGCTGCAAATCCTAACCCTACAGGCCCTGCAAAAATATAAACCCGAAAAGCCCGAGAGGCCTATAGACTAACATCGCCCAGCCTGAACCCTGGACGATAACCCTGAAGCCCTTTCGAGTTTTAGGGATTAGGGGTTTGAGGTTTCGGTTTAGGAATGTTTATGGACTCAAGCAAGAACAACCCTAAACCTTACTAAACCCTAAACCCTAAACCCTAAACCCTAAATCCTAAACCCTAAACCCCTAAACCCCTAAACAAGTTCATCTTGCCCAAGGCCAAAGGCAGCCTCTTAAGCCTTCGCACCGGAGGAGGTATTCTGCAACACCACCTGTCGCACTCATGACTTAAAGGAGTAAGATTGTGTCGGACGCTTGTCAACTACTTCCATGTTTTGTGGGAAATAATCTATTTCCTGTTAGAAGCGAAAACAATCCACAAATAGCGTACCGGATAACAACAAATCAGCACCGACAAGTCCAAACAAAATGTTAAATAATGGAACCGAAAGAACAAACACAAAGGAACAATAAAGGAACACCCTTTTGTGGTTCATTGTTGGTTACTGTTTTTTTTTTAACTTTTGTGTTCGTGGTTGTTTACATGTTGTCCCTTTGTTTTGATTGCTTTAGTTGTTTTTTGTTGGCTTTGGTTTCGTGTTATTTGTTGTTGCCCCGGCTCCCTCCCGCTTCTTCCCTCGGAAAACCATAAACACCTTGCCCCCCATCCTGAACCCTTCTGTGCTTGCTGGCCCCATTTTGATGCAACTCTGGCTCCATTAATTCTGGATTTTTTCCCCAATTAGATCGTTTTTTGTGGTCCTGTTTTTGCCTCTTGTTGTTTTCTTGTTGTTCCCATACTTTTCCTTGTTCGGACCCATTGTTGTTGCTTTCGCTGAAAACCATGGACCGGTCTTTTCTCGGAAAATAGATTATTTCTGGAAATCATAGAAGTAGTTGTAAACCGCGACACAAGAGCAAGACAATGTTGAAGCGTTTGTTCTCGGATTTCGGGGCTTGCAATGTTCTTCATGAAATAGCATAAAAGGGTTTAGGGTTTGAGATCTTCAGCTCTGAAGGACCTTAAAACATGTTTTAAGCCACAACCACCCATTCAATTTTCAGCCTAGCTGAAGACTCAAAGACACATGCTGCCGCCACAGTCAGGCCGAGGCGGGCGGCCTAGCGATCGAATTTAACTGAAGTAAGCAATAGGCCTTGAGCTGCAAAAAGGGTCCTTCTTGTGATTGACAGGAGCTTCCTTCAATCAGGGGTAGTGGAAAGCCTGCTGTAAGCCAATACAGCCGTTCTCAAGTCCTACAAATCCCCACAACGCCCTACACATCTGTAACTCTGGTGGTATTAAGCTGCCTTTCCTACTCAACTCTGAACCCGCGACACAGCCCATCAGTCGAACAACAGCTCTAAAACCCTAAAGACTAAATAAATGTAACCCTTAAACCCAGAACCCCAAAACACAAACCATCCTAAACCCCAGACCCTAAACCCTAACCCCAACATTACACCAGGGACCATCAAGGCCACCAACACATACGGATCCCACCACCGCGGTGTACCGAGTCCGGAAACCGCTAATTGCGAGATTCCGAGGTGTTCGTGCTATACTGTGATGATTACTAGCGTTGCTGGAATTACTATTATTAGCAATGTCAGTGTTGTTGTTCTAATTTTTGCCATTACTATTACTACTAGAATTAGTACTGTTACTATTATGATTATTAGGGTTTGAGCGGCTTGAACGATCAAAGAAGCTGCCACCTGCAGCTGTGCGCAGCCACGCGTGGTGCCGGAGTTTGTCTGCACGTCCGCATAGTCTGTTTTGATCTGAGGCGAGGTTTAGGGTTTTGGGTTTGAGCCGGGAGGATGTGAGGGGCAGTCGGGGTTGAGGGGGCTTAGGCTTCAGGGTTTCTTAACGATTTGTATACATATATATACAGATGTATACATATATATATATATATATATATGTTAGTACGCACACATTTTGCTGGCATATTCAGACTACTCAAAAATATTCATATGTCCTCAGCTCCTTAAGCAGAACCCGTCACTGAGCTAACACAGGAAGAACCATCCCTGGCAGTGCTCGCAGTCTCAAATCCCGAACCTGAACTACTTTGATGCCACACCTGGCTCCAATCCCAAGACCTGGTTTAGGGTTTAAGGATTAGGGTTTAGGGTTTAGGGTTTAGGATTCAGGGCTTAGGGTTTAGGGTTTAGGGCTTAGGGTTTAGGGCTCAGGGTGCACAAACAGCCGTCCAGACTGGGTCCGCTGGCTTCTTTGATCGTCGCCAGGCTTTCTTTCTCACAGCGTGAGGCCTAAGCGTGCATGGGTAAGCAAGTTCATGTTTAACAGTGTTGTCAATATATTGTTGCTATTCGTAGTAGAGATCTTAATCCTGTTGTTGTATGATTATGTATTCTAAATGTGCGTTTAGCATTACGGTTGTTACCAGTATTGGCATCAGTATTGGCAAAGTACCCGGGCCTAGAGTCCTATAACGCTTTCCACGACTGGGTGCGTGGGGTTCCTGGCTGCGGAGGAGTAGGAGTTGTTGGGCTCGGGACCTTACCGAGCTTCAGGCTGCACCGCTTCGTGCTTGATAGGTTTGCTGTTGGGCTTACCTGTAGTCTCCATTGTAGTTCCTTTTTTGGGTTTAGCCAATTACATACTAAGAATTTTATTAAGGCATCCCCAAAAAGGAACTACAATGGAGACTATAGGTACAAGGAGTCATAGGATAAAGGGGACCCCTCAAGATATAGACCCTCTCAAGAAGGTCCCCTTCTTAAGAGAGCCAGAAGTAGGGTCAAGAAGGGTCCCCTTCAGGGATCTCCCTAATACTACATACCTATAGTCTCCGTTGTAGTTCCTTTTTGGGGATGCCTCATAAAATCCTGAATATATTGTATGTTAAACCAAAAACAGGAACTACAATGGAGACTACAGGTAGGACCGATTACAGCTGGTGTCAGGAGGTTTAGGGTTTCAGGCCTCGCAACCCTAAACCCTAAACCCCTAAACCCTAAACCCTAAACCCTAAACCCTCGTAAGACCCATTCTCTGAACCCCCCTTTCAACTCGCCTCTTCGGGCGGAAGTGCTACATCTTGAACCCCTGATCCTGGTCCGTCCGTATAGTAAGCCTTAGAGCAACCTTTCCAGCAGCCCCTGTATTCCTGAAAGTCGAGCCTATAATAGCCGTATTGCAAATATTGACATGAGGTAAACCCCAAAGTGCCATCAGGAGCAACCGAATACAATAACACCTTGGGTACGTAGTACACGCCCTAAACCCACCAAACCCTAAACCCTAAACCCTAAACTCCAAACCATGAACTCTAAACCCTAAACCCTAAACCCTATAAACTCTAAACCCTAAACCCGAGCCCTTAAACTTAAAGCAACTACAGGATGCCAGAATGCTCCCCATAACCCCGAAGCCAGAAGCGCTAAGCCGTACATCAACTTAAGCAATCACCCCTAAACCCCAAACCCCAAGCCGTATATAAGCACCTATGTAAACCCTCTTATGAGACGCGAATGACTCGAGCAATTAAACCTCTAAATCCAAACAAACCTAGACTCCAAACCCCTACACCATAAACCCCTAAACCCTAAACACCTAAACTCTTAACCCACAAACCCTAAACTCGGAAAAATCGAGGAATTGACCACGGAGGCCACGATGCCAATGGCCTCTCCGAGAGCAGTCACGCGAAGCTCCTGGAGAAGGGTTTTCGGGTTTAGAAGGAACCTTTCACGGGTTCTGGGTTTAGGGTTGAGGGTTTAGGGTAGTAGGGTTTAGGGCTTAGGGTAGTAGGGTTTAGGGTTTAGGGTAGTAGGGTTTAGGGTTTAGGGTGTAGGGTTTAGGGTTTGGGGTTGGAGCCCCCGAGAGGAATCCGAATCTTCGACTCTGTCTTGGCATCGACTATGCTGGTAAGGTTGACGGTTCTGCAGGGAAGGTTAAAACAGGGGCCTTAATAATTAGAATAGGGTTCTGGGGCCCAATATACTATATTTATATTCAGGAAGCACCAAAATCATATTGGTAATTATTTAAGCCCCTATATCAGGGGTCCCAAGCAGGGCCAACATGGCAAGGCAAGGAATCTGCTGGAGAAGAGGCCTCAGTAACGACACAAACAAGCTTGCTTTTGTACATACCCAGAGAGCCCAATACCCCTTAATTAGGGAATATACCTTAAACTATAGGGGCCTTAATATATATTATGGTTTAAGGTATATTCCTTAATTCAGGGGTATTGGGCTCTCTGGGTAGGTGTTGGGCATCCTTAGAACATACCTGAGAAGCTTCAACATGTCATAACCAACGATGTCTCTTCATCTGGGAGCTAGGACTACGGGGACCCTTGGGGATATAGACCCTCTCAATAACGTCCCTTTTAAGAGAGCCAAAAGTAGGGTTCAGAAGGGGTACCGGGAAGGCAGCACGTCGCACGGACCTTTCCGCCCTGGCGGGCTCCATCGGTCCGACTCCAGGCTTGGCGGGCTCCATCGGTCTGACTCC